AACTGCAGCAAAAGGTGGTTCTACAAAGTAGGACTTTGAGTATTGAGTCTAATTATGCACACCCCACTTTGCAGTTATTTATTTGTAAAAAATGTTGTTTGCAAGCTATCAAATACGGTGCATTTCTAGGCTTTTAAAAAAACGCTATGCGTCACCAGGTGTTTAATCAGATTCGAGGTGTTACCTCCTTTGACAGTATTACCTTAAAGCACTTGTTGCAGGCTGCTGACTTTGCATCTTTTGCTGTGAAGTACAGCCAGACTTTTGACCGCTTCGCCTTGGGCGTTTTTAATCTGTAGCTCTGCTCTAAAAGAACGTACGTACCTGGGCCCGCCTACTATCCTCAGAAAGGTAAAATGATTGGCTGGAATCCAAAGTGTATGACATCTCAGAAAAAAAAAAGCACCGAAATAAAGCACTGAAATGTGCGCTGCCTTTCGGTCTGGTTACAACCGTTTATGTCAGAACCGGTACCCATCCCTACACATAACACTTCAACTTTTGAAGGGAAAGAAAGGCAAAACAAGTTTTAGCGTGACCTACAGATCAGGAAAGCACTGCAAGTGTTCAAAATCTTTTTTCGGGTTTTAAAAACAGATTAATACAACAGCTGCTCCTAAAATATGTTTAGATGTATCGGATTGGTGTCACTATACTTTTATATTTTAGGGATCTATGTCAGCCTAATGATGATTTGTTAGAAATTGGAGCTATATCTCCTAGAGCTGAAGAACAGTCTCACCCCTCCACTGGCTCCATGGATAAGAACGGTCTCTCCAGCCTTGGCGTGCGCTCTGCACAACACAAAAACCCACAGAGTAGGTGAAAGTTAACAGTATGGTGCTGCATTACTAATTAACCACCCCCTCTATTAAAAACATTGATCTTCCCTTTGTAACATGATGTATGTTCAGAGTTGGGATATGCATACAGTATATCTGGACTTGTCAGTGTGGAAGGAAGAAGATCAAGGTTTTGACCACCAGAGGGCAGTATAAGCACCACGCAGCTGCGTAGACTTGGTCATATGCAGGAAGAGATACATGTATTTCTTGTTGTTATAATATATTTTAGCTGACATTACTTTTTCAGCACTTTCTGTTGTTATATAAGCCCACTAAAAGATTTTTACTGGACCTTGTAATTTGAATTAGAAATATTAAATTGAATATTATATTGAATTTCATTGCTTTGCTCTTTAAGATCTGCAGCTGGTGGAATCCTGCTACAGCTCGCCCTGATTAGAACAGGTGTGTCTTACTTGTGGATCAGAGCTCTGTAGGCGGTGAAGTACGGGATCCCGATGGCTGCTCCCTG